ATGTCATCAGCACGACATGCAGATCCTTCAATGCCGTTCGTACCTGTAACACATGCATGAAACGATACACTCACATACAAACAAACGCACACACATATGCAAAATACGTTATGCAAGCGAACGTAATAAGAGATATAAAAAGAATGACTCGAGTTGTATCCATCGTACTTGCCCTGAAACCCTTCCAGTGGGGAGTTTATTGATGTAAAGTGAGTAACCTGATAAAAAACTGGACAGTTATAAACCCCCAACAGAGCCGTGCTGGAGGTTCACGGACGCCGAGCGGAGAAAAAGCGGATGTCATCGGGATCGGAGATCCGTTTTCTGACGAGAAAACAAGCCAAAGACAAACGAGGCCGTTAAAGGACTAAACAGTTTATAAAACCGTGAGCAAAACTGTGTGGATAATAGTAGCTGCGAGGCTAATAAAGCAAATATTTGCCGTGACAGTTGAACGAATCTTTTGAATCAGTTATTCTGAACGAATCTTTTTCTAAAACTGTGATTTAAGTGATTCTGAGCACCAGGATTAATAACAATAAAGGGAACAAAATGTCAGATGACAAACCAGATCTGGAGAGTTTAAAGCGAAAACACTCAAATGCACAAAGAACCTTTACAACTAGGGTAAACCGCCTCGAAGTTAGTGCTGGCCGTTTACGTGAAGTTGAACTGTCTGAAGAGTTAGTGAAATTAAGGAATGATTATGACAAGCTTCTTGATGCTAGTAATGAGTATGTTGATGCACAAAGCCAGACAGACCCTACAACAAGTGAAGACAGTGAGTTGCGGAACGCTTTGGTGAAAAGGGATGCCAATGAGCAAAAATTCCTTGAAACTGAGGGCAAGATCATGGAATTATTGTGGGCTAAGTATGCAGAACCAGACATAGACGCTCTTGTGGCACAGTGAAGTGCCATGGACACAGCAAAAGGTTGAGAGTGGTAAACTAGATAGAAAGCTCAGTGAACTCAAGGAGGCTGTGTATACTTGGAGGGATTATCGGCCACATGGAAGAAATAAATGGTTGCTCTTTTTATCATTGAGAGAGGATAAAGAGCAACTGATGGATGGCTGGGCATACGGACATGAGGATGCGGTCATGAGGAAGAATGTTGCAGAAATAAAGGCTGATGATGAGGAGGCAGAGGCTGATAATGAGGAAGGCGATGACACGGTCAGTGGGCATGGTTTAATAGAAAGCAACAGCCCTGCAGTGGCAGGTAGCATCACCTATACCCAGCCAGCAACACATACTATTGCTACCCCTCTTATAAACGATCAGTCTGCTGGTGTTAGTCTTGCTTTACCTCCAACTCCAGCCCACACACTACAACAGTTGAGCCATCAGGCTGCTCCACCTGTTGATCTCAGAATAGGGCAATTTAATAACGTGCCATATAGTAGCCCTGGTTTGTATACTAGTGGTGAAAACAGCTTTCAATGGGCTAGACCAAAAATAAGGCTCACCCCCATAAGCTTACCGAAATTCTCTGGGGACAGGAGAGGTTATTGGCGTTGGAAGGCTGAATGGGAAAGTATTCAGACGCAAGCCAAATCCACAGCCAATCTATTAGAGAAGAAGTCTCAAGTGAAAAGGATAAAAGCATGCATGAAGTGCTTGGATGTTCACGGAGTCGAAAGTGACTGTTCTTCAAAGTTTCTCTGTCGAAAGGAAGAGTGTCAGAAAGGCGACACTCCAGCAGACCACCACTATTTCCTTTGCCCTAGAGTATCAGCTAAGAAGGACACCACTAAGATGGAAAACAGAACCGAGGAAAAGAAAAGAATTCGAGGTCCGACAGAGGAGCAAGAAGCTGTATTCGCTGGGTTGGGGTTGACTCCCCACCAGTTGGAGGCTGTCCGTAGTAGAGATGCGCGGATGGGCTATTATTTCATCCGCAACCGCATGACAAAATTCATCATCCGTCCGCCATCCATCAGCAGTAACATTTTTGACCAATTTTTAAAACCGCACCCGCCCGCCATCTGCTAATTGGGCTCTTTATTTGAATGGCTTATTCCTTTTTTTTATTAAATGAATGTTTCTTTATTGATCATTATATAACAGAGAGTGACTTTAATGTAGACATGCAGTTAATCCAAACGTGCAAGTCATTAATTGACGATGCTTTGAAGTGACGCTAAAGATACGAGGACGTGTCTTTTCACTTGATTCAATTCCTCGGTCCTTGAGTCTTTTCCTTGCGTCCTTCCCTCGTACCGTTATCCCGGTGGGGTGGAAACACAAGGAAAGAAAGCAAGGAAAGGAAACGAGGATGCACAAATAAGAAATGAGAAGCACCCGAGCTCTCAGAATATCAGCAGTGAACTCCGTCTCCAATCGGCGCACAGGGACAAAAATAAATAAATAGCCTAAATTAAACGCACTGTACTGTACAACTTTTTTTTATTGTAGCCTAATAGAAAACGCATTGACACATCATTTCAACATGCTGCTATTTAGCCTACTACTAAATGCCTATTTTACTTAATTTTTTAGTAAATAGATAGAATAATAAGTCATTTACATTATAGCCTAATAATGTTTACATTTGTAGTTGTCCATAGCAACCCCAAAAATGTACTTGATTGCCTTGCACATCTAATTAATGGGCACAGTTTTTCGACTATTTTTTTTTTTTTTTTTGCTTTGGATGTTATTAAGCTTGTAGAAATCGGAAAAAACACAGTTCTGCGACACAGATGAACCTTTATTGATATCTCTATCAGACAATACCTATTTTATATGCCAAAAGAAACAACAGGCAGTAAAAAAATATTAACATAAATATCTTAATGTAGGCATAGGCTATAGTCGCATGCTTTGGCAAACAGTTGAAAAACTTTTAATAAAAACGTTATATCGTGCCTAAGCCTTGTAGGCTCAGTCACCCCCACAATTAGAAATTAAATTAGAAAAATAGATATGCCATCCCTCTTTGAGCGAACCTGACCAGGCTAAAGTGCATGTATGACAAGTGCCCCAATAACCCATGGACTTAGGATCATCCCCATTCCCCTCAAACTTGAAGCATAACGAAATACTACGCCATTAAATTTGCGACAAAGAAATTCTGGCAAAATAACCTTAGCCTCGGAACGTAAAAGCGAGGCCAACATGTCTAGAATAGAATAGGCTAAACCAATATGAACGTAAAATTATCAGCTGACTGAACTCAAAAGTTTATATTGACATATATATAAATAGGCTAATTGGTTTAATATGCCTGACCTTAGGTCTAGTTTGATTTTTTCTTGGCACAATGCAGGAATAAAATAGCATCTACAGTGTCAGGATTCAGACGGGAGTGCCTGCATAGCCACTATAATGCGCCCTGCTGCACTAAAGGAGCGCTCGCTCGCAGCACTTGTTGCTGAAATGCATAGAATTCTCTTGGAAAGGTGCTGTAGTCGTGGGAATGACTGGCCTTATTTCTCCCAAAAGGAAAGTAGATTTTCCTCTGCTGATCCGTCTATACGGAAGTTTGTAGAGGAATACTTCTGTACACTTCATCCAGAATTAATGTATCCGATTCCTCCCATTCTGTGAAGTCAGTCCTAGGCTTTTTCGTTGGTGCGCTAGCCATGAATATAAAAACAGTACAACCGCCCGCCACCCGCCCGAATTTAATTAAAATATTATTTTTTCGTAACGTCATCCGCCCAATAAACCGCGGAGTCCACGGCTATAACCGCCAACCGCGCATCTCTAGTCCGTAGAGCTTGTACTAACAAAGCAGTATCAGCAGTATGTTCTGAAAAGAGTCTGATAAAACAGAGTGGCTTAAAAGAGCACCCAGTCCTAATGATGATCATACCTGTCACAACAAAGAGAGGAGACAGCCTTGGCGCTTTAGTCAATCTCGCTTCTGACACGAATTACATCACTCACCAGGCTGCAGAGAGACTTGGATTGAATGGTGAACCAATCTCACTTGTCGTGTATGGTGTTGGTACGATGAAGGTGAAAGTTGATACAAGGAGGTATCTCGTAAAAATAAAAGTGTGGACCTCCCGTGGTACCCTTAAACTCCACGAGATGATTTGTTATGGAATGGAAGACATTGCAAAAGTGGATAAAGTGGATAAATCTGAACGGCTAGAGCAATTTTTCCCTGGAGTGAGGCCTGGAGAATTAGCCCGCCCAAAAAAGATTGATTTATTAATCAGCACTCGTGAAGGCTGATTAGCTCCGCAAAGACTGCAGAGAGTCGGTGATTTAGTGTTGTGGGACGGTCCTCTAGGCAAGATTGTGAGTGGTGTGCACCCAGACCTCTTTGAAGAAGTGGACGTGGCTGCATGGCAATCAAAGACGCACTTTGCTCATTCAATGAGGTCAGTAGCTGTCAAAGTTGAAGAACACTTTGTGGGAAGGCAAAGAGGCCATTTGGAGAAAGAAAATGGAGTAAGCACTCGGACAACAGCAGTGTGTAATAAAAGGATATTTGAGTGGCTAAAGTGGGACAGCATTGGTGCTGCCTGTAACCCGATCTGTGGAGGATGTCGCAGTGGGAAGTGCTCGCCAGGAGGAAAGGAGATATCCCTGGCTGAAGAGAAAGAGCTTGAAGTATAAAAGGCAGGCTTAACCTTCAGAGATAAAGATGCTCACAGCAACCAGCCCCACTGGGATGCGAAATACCCCTGGAAGGAAGACCCAGTCTTTCTTCCTAACAACCGAAAGGCTGTGGAAGCAACGTTCCTGAGGACTGAAAAGCGGCTCATGAGAGACCCTCTATGGAAAGAAGCTTACACGAAACAAATCCATGAGATGGTAGAGAGGGGAGCTGCTGTTAAACTAACTAGGGATGTCATGGACAGTTTGAAACCCCCATTCAGCAACTACACCTATACGTCTCGTCTGGAATAGCAGCCAGGAGTTCAAAGGAGTTAGTATGAACAGCATTCTGCTCAAAGGTCCTGACGTTTTAAATCCCATTAGGGCGGTACTCCTCAGATTCCGGGAAGGAGAACATGCTGCCATCGGAGACATCACTAAGATGTATAATTCAGTTTGGTTGGAGGAAGAAGAAGTCCATGTGCATCGGTTCTTATGGAGAGACTCACCGAAGGATGAGATTGAGGATTACGCTGTTGTGAGAGTGAACATGGGGGACAAACCTGCGGGATGTATTGCGCAGGTTGCAATGCGTGAGACCGCAAAATTACCCCAGTTCTCTGATAAGAAAGAGGAAAGGAGGGTCATCGAGGAAGATTCCTACGTCGATGACATCCTCACTTCCCACAATGACCCACACCGTCTAAACAGAATTCAAAGGGGGGTGGAAAAGATACTAAAAGCAGGGGGCTTCTACCTCAAACCTTGGATCCGGTCTGGTCAGAGTGGGAGGAGTAATGGAACAGGGTCCATGCCAATGGCCCTAACATTGCCCAACCAGTTAAGGGAGGAGGACAACAAAGCCCTGGGGGTTGGTTACCTTGTGCAGGAAGATAAGCTCTTTGTGATGGTCTCAATCAACTTTTCAAGTAGGAAGAAGAAGATGAGAACTGAAACTGACCTTATGGAAGACGAAGTAGAAGTGAAAACACCAAACCCACTTACTCGTCGTGTTTTATTGAGTCAAATTGCTGGACTGTATGACTCGATCAGGTTAGTAACACCTGTGAAACAGAAAGGAGTAATTCTTGTGAGACAAGCCTTCCAGGAGGCCAGCAAGCTTACTACAGATACATGGGATGAACCTCTGTCTGATAAGCTTAGGGGGAAAGCAATTGAGTTGTTTAGGAGTATGTTCGTTTGAGTAACATAAAGTTCTACCGAAGCCTCACGCCTACTGGTTGGAAGAGTAGACCCTGGGGAATAACATTTTCTGATGGGAGTTGTGAGTCTTATGGTGCAGTAGATGGTGTGGTCACTCGGCTGGTAGAAGATTGATGCAATCAAGGCTGAGGTATGCGGAGCCGTCTTCGCTACACGTCTAAAAGGATACGTGATGAAACATGGATGATTGAACGTGGAAAAGTGGTATCTATTCATTGACAGTCAAACAGTGCTTGGGGCTATCCAAAGAGAGAGTTACGGGTTCCAGACATTCTTTGTGAACCGTACTGGGGAGATTCAGAAGGCTGGAGATGTAACTGATTGGTGGTGGATACCAGGCGAGGTCAACGTCGCTGATCTAGTCACGAGGGGGTGCTCTCCTGAACTGCTGGGTGAAAATTCTGTGTGGCAGAAAGGTCCTAAGTTTCTCTCCAGTCCAGTAAAAGATTGGTCTATAAAGTCTGCATCTGAAGTGGCAACCGATGCTAGAGAGGTAGTGGGTAAGCTCCAGAAAAAGGCCTTTTCTGCTGTCCTTACCAGAGCTAAATCTGAGGGTTTATTCAATCCTAACCGCCCTGAAAGTGAAGATCCAGTTGTCACTGATGAAAATAATTCAGTGTCCCCAGAAAATGGAGTGAAAGTGAACCTAAATGAGGCTAAGGAGAAGGAGACTCTGTGGGGAGCTGCTCTCATAGACCAAGTTGATCCAACAAGGTGCAGTTCTCTTTCTAGACTTTGTGGAATAGTTGGTTATGTCCGCAGAGCCATAAAGAAGTGGCTAGCCTGTTTAGGCAGGACTTCTAAGCCGGCAAAGTGGGAGGCAGTGTTGACAGTAAAAGAACTTCTTTAGGGAAAGCCTTAGCTTCTCAAGTTGCAGACAGGACATGGCATCCTTTATTAGTGTGGAGCAACAAGGAGGATCTTTTCGTTTCCAGTTTAGTAGAATCAATCTACGTGCCAAAAGGGTTATAAATCTAATGACTGTACGTTGATTATTAGATAAATCTGCATCATCACTGACACCAAATATAGCTAAAATAGGCCCAAGAGAAATTTGTTTTCCCACCACTTCTGATATTAAGTCAAAAACTGAAATCCAATAGTTAACCATCTTAGAACAACTACAAAACATATGACCAAGCGAAGCCGGGGTTTGCTTGCATCTATCACACAGTGGGTCTAGGGCAGGGAACATCTTAGAGAGTTTTAATTTAGATAAGTGGAGTCGGTGCAGAATCTTAAATTGTATTAAACCGTGCCTGATACACACAGAACTAGAAAGAACTTGTTCCTGTTCTTCCTCCCATTGCCAATTTTCAATTTCTGCTCCGAGATCCTCTTCCCATGCCATTTTGAGATGCTCTAATGACACGTCACATTCTATCTGAGATAATTTATTATATATAATTGAAATTCCTCCTTTCATAAATGGGTTCTGTAGAAACAAAATTTCTACTAAGGAAGTTGGTGGTTCATTAGGAAATGTTATAAAATTCTTTTGGGCAAAACTGCGAGCTTGTAAATATTTAAAAAAATGGGTACCTGGCAGATCATATGTCTGCTGTAATTGTTGAAACATTGAAAAACAATTATCAAAGAAAAGATCTTTAAAGGAGTGTATCCCTTTATTTGAGCAGACATGAAATAAAGAGTCAGTTTGAGAAGGGGTAAATGAATGATTCTTAGTCAGTGGGCTTAAGACAGAACATGTTTGCCACTTAAAGTGTTTTCGAACCTGTTTCTAAATTTTAAAAGTATTAGAAACCACTGGAATGTTTAATCGAGGTGTGTGTGTGTGTGTGTGTGTGTGTGTGTGTGTTTGGGTGGGGGGGTAGGGGGGGGGGGGGGTAGATAATGCTGAGTAAAGTAGAGCTGGCCAAGAGGAAGAGGAACATGACTTATTTTCCATGTCACCCCAATCTGTTAATCCCTCTTTTATCCCAAAAGAAAGTGCTCTTATATTACATGCCCAGTAATACAACTGAAAATGTGGTAAACTCATCCCTCATTTCATTTTAATTCTTTGTAAATATATTTTCTTGATTCTAGGTTTTTTTTTTATTCCAAATGTATTGGGTTATCATTCCATCTATTTTCTTAAAAAAATGATTTTTTAATAAATACTGGGATACATTGGAAAAGAAAAAGATATTTGGGCAAAATAGTCATTTTTACTGTGTAATACGGCCAGCTAACGAAAGAGGAAGATTGGTCCATTTTTTAAAGAGTCGTTCAGTGTTTTTATATAATTTTTAGATATTTTCTCTAAAGGGTAAAGGAAAATGTTTAGTAATGGTAATCCCTAGATGTTTAAATGAATTTACTACTTTAAAAGGAAAAATTAAAAATGATTCTACTTGATCTTTAGGGTTTATTGGATATATATAATGCTCTTAGAAAAGTTTATCTTATATCCTGAGATTTTACGAAATTGATCTAAAATTGACATGATGGCTGGTATTGATTGTAGGGGATTGGAAATATATACTAAAAGGTCATCCGCATAAAGTGACACCTTGTGCTCTCTTCCCACCCTCACTATTCCCCTGTAGGCCATAGATGCACGTAAGGCTATTGCTAAAGGTTCTATTGCCAAAGCAAATAGAAGGGGGGACAGAGGACAACCTTGTCTTGTAGATCGCTCTAATGGAAAATAACTAAAACTGTTATTGCTTGTTTGCACAGAAGCTTGTGGATGGACATATAGTAACTTAATAAATGAAATAAAGTTTGAACCGAATCCAAATTTAGCAAGGGTGGCAAAAAGATAATCCCACTCTACCCGATCAAAGGCTTTTTCAGCATCCATAGAAATAGGCATTCCAGGTTGAGTGGGACTAAGATTAGATGTATAAACAATGTTTAATAGTCATCTGATATTAAAAAATAAAAGACAACTCTTAATGAATCCTGTTTGGTCTGTGGTGATCACTGCGAGAAGAACTTACTCAAGGCGAGTGGCTAGAACCTTTGCCAAAATTTTTTGGTCCACATCAAGAAGACTGATCGGCCTATTGACCTTATTCTAAAATGCGGAAGTGCGCCTGTTTTCGCGATTGTCTTAGAACTTCCGTTTCAGTCGCCTATGGGAGAAATGACAAGGAATAATAAACGGCAAAAAACGATCAAACTACTTGCTCTACAAATAAATGTTTGCATGACTATACAGACCAAGTAGAATAATATAACAAGGAAATATCAGTTTACAACATCAAACAGCAAAACGAGCAGTTTTTAATGTCTAAAAATGAATGGAAGTGAATGAGACCGGAAGTCTCGTGCCAAAAAGATTCAAATGGCAGCGCCCGCTCGTCTGCGGAGAATAAGGTCAATAGGAACCAGGTTCTAGGGGATCTTTGTCCGTTTTGTGGATTAAAGAGATATTAGCCTGGTAGAATGTTGGCGGTAAACAGCCCTTGTCAAATGATTCATTAAAAACGTCCAGAAGCTTTGGCGAGATTTGATCACTAAAATTTTTATAAAATTCGGTTGTGAAGCCATCTGGGCCCGGGGCCTTAGAACATTGCATGTTAGTTATAGCCTTTTTTATTTCCTCAATTGTCAGTGGCTGTTCTAAAATTTCTTTGTTTTCTGTGTCTAATAAGGGTATATTAAGTGATTCTAGAAACTGGGTTAAATCAGATGGGTTGTTAGTAGATTCAGAGGAATATAATTTGACAAAGTTTTTAAAAAATATTTTTAATTTCTAATGGATCGGATATAACTTGTCCTGTATTATTTTAAATTTCCATTATTGTTTTTGATGTTGCCATTTCCTTAATTTGCCAAGCTAGTAATTTACCTGCTCTCTCTCCGTGTTCATAATATGTGGCCTCTGCCCGTATCAATAGATTTTTTATTTCTGTAGTGGATAATAATTTAAATTCTGACTGGAGAAAGAGCCTTTCCTTATATAATTCTGCTGATGGGAAAATTGCATACTATTTATCTATTTCTAATAGTCTATTAGTCAATTTAGCTTTTTGTTCTCTGTGCTGTTTCCTAATTGAGGTACTGTGAGAAATGGTTTGTCCATGCATATATGCTTTAAATGCTTCCCAAATTGTAGATTTGGAGACATCTGTTGTGTTATTTGTCTCCAAGTCTTAATCTTATTTGAGCCTTGGTTTGTTCCATAAATTTAGTTTCTGCTAATAAGTTATTATCAAATCTCCATTTAATTATGTCATATTTCAACTTAAACTTTATCTTAAGAATTAAAGGGCCATGGTCCGATATTACCATTGCATCATAATCACAATGTGTTACCTCTGGCAAAAGTTTGTGATCTATTAAAAAATAATCTATTCTTGAAAATGTATGATGAACGGGTGAAAAAAATGAACACTTTCATTGGTTTGGAAAAGTGTACCTCCATGGATATATTATTTTAAATTTGTTCATAAACATTTGTAGCAATTTGGCTGATTTTGGCAAAGGTATTAACCTATTTGATGATCTATCTAAGATAGGATCCAGCACAAAATTAAAGTCACCTCCCATAATCAATTGGTGAGTATCTAAATTAGGCAGGATATTCAAAATAGAGGATATAAATCGATCATCATCAATATTGGGGGCATATATATTAACAAATAATGTTGGTGTGTTGTAAAGTTGTCCCGTTACAATAACATATCGTCCATTTGAATCCGAAATTACTTTTGTGGCTGTAAATGGTATAGCTTTCTTTAATAATATTGCCGTACCTCTAGACTTAAAATTAAAATTTGAATGGAAAATTTGTCTGACCCATCTTCCTCTTAAACGATTCTGGTCTTGGTTCTTTAAATGAAGTTTCACAAACTAATTTCGAGAGGAGCCCGTGATATGATTGACTGCAGCTGGCCACTCATCTACACTCATTAGCTAGCCAATCGGATTTATCCAAACTCACTATAAATAACCTAGCTAAGATCTACACCCCTATCTTCGTTTTCTGAAGAAACCTCCCATCCACCCCTTCTCCTCCTTTCCTCTTTTGCCGAGGGGAGCTCTCGAGAACACCTGACCACGTACTCCCCTCACATGCTTTATGGACCTGGCGGGAGCCCTGGGCTCAACTATCTCCGAGCTCAGGGTTCTCTCCCGGGACAGCATGTCAAACCTGCTAACTTGCTAACAAGTTGTCAAACAGTATCTAAGTGTGAACTCTTAAAATGAGTTTCTTGTAAAAATACAAGGTCTGCCCCTAATCTCCTAACATTTCCTCTTTTTATTGCTCTATTAAGACCCTTACAGTTCCATGAAATAAACTGGACCGAATTTGTATTAGTACATATTGTCTTCTTAGTCATGATCCTAGTTTTGAGAAATATTGTGAGAAGCAATTTTTAGAGTGCACAGGGAAAAATAATGAATGAATAAATAAATAATATAAAATAAACAAGAGAGTTGGGGGGGAGGAGGGAGAGAAAAAAAAAGAAAAAAAAAAAACCTGAACCAACAAAATCCGAACAAGTTGAACATAACTCTCAGTCCACTGTGTGTATGAACATCACACAAAAAACAGCAGAGTAAGTTTAGAAGACTTCTTCTGTTGTTAACGTTACCCATTACTTCAACCAAAGGATAGTAAACCATTTGGCTTACCACTTAGCTGCTTTACAAAAACAAATAAGGTACTCATTAGACCAATTTACATATACTATTTTCACTTTACTATAATCATTGCGGTTCTTTTTTTTTAATTTTTTTTAATAAAGTTATGTATA